CCTCCCTCTTTTCTTTTTAAATATAGATTGATGCGTGTGAGTTTTCTTTGACTCAAGTCAGTGCAGAACGACCTGCTTTACCTCGGGTTCTTTTGCAGTTTATTCCGCCTCGCATTGTTTGGGAGCTCCCCGAGGCGGACCTCGCGCCCGGGAACGCGGAGCCTCGCGGGCGCCGGGCGCCTGCAGCCTGTGGGTCTGCAGCGGCCCTGTTCGCACTTTGCCGTTTGAAACTCACTCGGCCTCGGGGGAGAGGCGGCCAGCCCCGCTCTGCGCGCGGGAGCCCGGCTCCCTCTGCTTCTGGAGAGGAGCTTTAGCCCTAATTTTTGTGACAGATGGAGTTGATAGTCTCTCCACGGAAAGGGGAGGAAAAAAGCGCCAGTTTTTGACAGGCCGCAGACGCCCGGTGCCTCTGGCGGTCGAAGGCTGCGTTGCGCCGCAGTTAAGGTAGCGCGCAAACTCCCGCGCCCGCTGGCAGGGGATGCTGTCCCCGGGCTGCCCTGAAACGGGGCGACTGAAACGCACTGTAATAGAAACCCTGGGGCGGACAGGTTTACCCCCTTCCTTTATGTTGTGACTGCGGCCAGAGTGTACGGCTCAACGTCCCTAAAGATTTTTAATGCTATTATTTTTTTCATCACAATCATGTTACTAACTTATATGCCTAAAATATTAAATTGGTTGGTTGGATTTGTCTTGCAATTGACAACGATGCCTTTGCTCCAGGACCATACCTGCCAGATCAGGACCGGGTGATGGGAGGAAAGGAAAGGGGGCTGTAAATATCTCATCAGCACCCCCTCTACGAAAGTGTGTGCCGCTTTTTTGTGTGCGTTTTTTAATTTTTAAGTCTCACAATAAATTCTCTTATCTGGCCCCCCCCCGCCCGTGATGAGCAGGACCCAAAGATGGGCAAGTCGAAAAACAAACCGAATTCTGAACCCGGTCGAAGGCACAGATGGGATCCAGGGAGAATTAATGCAACTACCAAGAAAAAAAAAAAAAAAAGTTTAAAAGAATCAAACAAAAAGGCCCGTGGCCCAGCCGGATGCAAACAGCTGCCCCTAAGCCCTGAGCGCCGGTTCGGAGCGCGAGCTGCGGCTCCGCAGCCGAGCCTCCTTAAGAGTAGGAGGAGCTCCCGGGCTCTGTCAGACGCCCTAAGCCCTTCCTTTCAAGCCCTGAATGCCTGAATGTGAGCTGCCCACCACCCTCCCCGCCCTCCCCCAATCCGCAACCCCACTCCAGCGGCTCGGGGAAAAAAAA